ACGAAAAGAAAGAGTTCAGCAGGTGGAACAGGGGGTGGGGGGATTTTTAAGGAAAGACTATTGTATCTTGGTTGTTTAGTAAATAAATCATCAATTGTATTGTTTAGCAAATAATATACCAATTAATAAATTAACACATTTAATAAATAGTTAATCAAAACAATGTTAATTAAAACAATACTCTGTAGTACTCAATGGATTAAACTTACTTAACAAATCCATGCAATGGCTGGAGAGCACAGAGAAGTCAGGAAACAAACCTGTATTTTTCTAACTGTGTTATATGTATGTATTAAGAATGTATTAATACTAGAGGCCTGCACAAGGCAAGTTCCCCCCACTGTGTCCCAAGTCAGCTGCTAAGTAATTCGCAGGTGAGATTCACTGTCAGGTACTGCGGTCATTGATGGTTAAACAGCTAACAGGTTGTGGGCTTGTGTCTTGGAGGGGGTGGGGGCATAATAAAAAAATCACTGACTAGTTGCAGAAGTGAACAGGCAAGCAACAAATTAAGCTGCAAGTGTGCTACAGAGAAAAACTTGTAATTACAAGCAGCAAAACACATGAAGCAATATAACATCCTGCAAATAACATATGCATGAAATTTTACCCTTTTTTTCACAACAATAGTTTTGACTTTTTAACCTGTGTTGCGGATTGCATGTTTTGGCTTTAATTTAATTTCAGCTGACTTGTGGATGTCTTATAAAGTAATTAGCTAATGATATAAAGCTGATAAAAAATGTTAGTAGCAAAGCCAAGCTGCTTTGCTGTGTTGCGACGTCATGTGATGCAACAACAGTCATTGTGTGGAGCCATACGCAAGTTTACATGACTTTGTTGAGTCTAAAAAAACACAAAAAATGTACTTCTATTTTGCAATATTGAAATGTGTATTTTTGCATCTGGGTGCATGGAGGTATGATGGGTCTGGAGGCTTTTCCAGCATGTCGTGTGGACATGTCCTACACCAGTGGTGTGGATTATAGCAAATACAGGCAAGAGTGGATGTGGACTATAGGAATAGCCAAAGTAGGCGGGTGGGAGTGGGCATGGCATGTGGTTGAACTGGGCGGGTGCAGGCAAAAATGGTGCTAGGTTTTGCGGGAGGAAGTGGGCAAGAAGTACATTTTGCAGGCACAGGCAGTCATTATTAGTGATTGAATCGGGTGGGTGTGGGCATTAATAATCAGGCCCGTGTGGACCTCTAATCAATATCATTACTGAAAACAAGAAACATTTATATTTGTAATGCTGTTTTATGAATTTTCACCCACTCTTTCTTGCAGATCTCCTCCAGTTCTGCAATATTCTTGGGTCATCTTGCACACACAGCATGTTTAAGATCTTCAGGTTTTCAGTAATGTTCAAGTCAATTCCAAAAGCATTAACTTGCATTTCTTGCAGAAATTCATGGTGGATACTGAGGTATGTTTTGGATCATTGTGCTGTTGTAGAAGCCAGCATCTTTTCAGCTTCTGTTTCTTGACTGATTGTGTCACATTTGCTTTCAGATTTTTGCTAATATTTATTGTAATCCATTCTTCCATCTACCTGTGCAATGTTTCCTGTGCCGCTGGCGCAGGCACTTTCATCAACTGCTGCTCCTTTTTCTCTAAACATACCTTTGTGATTGTAACTAGAGTTTCCTTCCGATGACTCTTCCATGCATGTCATGTTTGTGCAAGCAATCCTGCACAGTAGAATTGTGCACCACCATTCCTACCTAAACCTTTCTGCATGTCCTTTGCTGTCATACAGGGGTTTTGCTTTGCCTTTCCAGGAAGCATACAAACAGTACTATCTGAGAATTTTCTTGGTACTCCAGAACTTACCATGACTTCCACTGTTCTCCTTAACTGCCATTTCTTAATGACACTTTAGGGAGTGAAAATTGTGTGCTGTGTATATATATATATATATATAATCAAACAGAAAGTAACTGTGTATTAACATTTGCAGAATAATTTGCGGGTGAGATTCATTTTCAGTAATTTCCAGAATTGACTGTCGTCTTCTCACAGTAGAAGGATGGACAGAAACACCTATGAATTTTTTTTCAGATCTGAAGCAAGAGTAGAGCTTGATTTTCTCCTATTTCTCAAAGATAAAAGCTTTAAATAGTGTTTATCTGACAGTTTTGGTGGTCTACCATACCTAACACAGTTGTTAGGAGTCACATTTTTTCTACTCTAATTTGAAAAACTCCTGTTTTTTTCACCTTCACCTTTCCCCTTGTGCAAGTGGACTGTCTTATATATAATCACCTCAGAAATATCTCCAGTAGAAAATTTAGATGCTTAAAAGAAAGAAATTTGGCAGTCATGGCAGTGTGTTTGGGCAGTTGCTTGTGTGAATGTTAGTGTCTCTTTGAAGGGTAACAATGTCATTGACAGTTTTGGGAACAGCTTTTGTTGGGAGGACACAGCTGTAACTCATTGGTTTCAAGATTGGAAGGATGGAAAAATTTAAAGCAGTAGAGTGCACAAAGTAAAGAGAGGAGCAAATTAAATACTAATAGATTTGATATCATACTTGGAGGCTTTTGTGCAATTTGTTTTCCGACACTGAAAACTAAATAATTTAATGGCCATTTTGACTGGAAATGATATAAACAAAAAGTGTGGTCTCTGACTTTGCACAGTGCTGTCACCACAATTAATATCAAAGACAAGAAAAATGAGTGCAAGTTCCATTTTATTTACCATAGTATTTACAGAAAGAAAAAAAAATAGGACACATTATGCATTTTAAATCTACTTTTTTATCTTTTTTTTGCAGCGGGGTCCCTCATTACTATCACAAAATATGTCTGTGGTTACCCCTCGTTAGTGTTCTATCTGATTTGTCACAGATTTGGCAAGTTATCACACTGTCCCCTGTGGAGGTTTGAAGCAGTGCACGGTACAGGAGCCATATTCACAAAGCTTTGTCCCCTGAGTTATTTAAGAATATCACAAGGTAGTCACACACCAAACAACAGGCTGAAAGAGAGACCACTAGGAGAAGATCCACAGAGGGCTGACCTTTTTCTGAGTAGTAGGGTCTGAGGAAGAGAAACATCAGCAATAGCTCTTTAAATAACTCCTGAGTGAACTCTTTGTGAATAGTGGCGTAAGTGTTGCTTTGTTTCTTCGTTATAGTTCAGTGGAAAAGGGTGCTAGACTGACTCAAAATGTACATGTGTCATGTGCACTAGTGTGTGATTATGCAGTAATCACTGTATTTGGACTGGTCTGCACGTCATAGCCACAAGATCCTCGTTTTAGCAACATAGTTTAGGCTTGTATATGTGAACCTTCACTTCTACACGTGAGCATGATATGCTTATTTTGTACTTGGTCATCCTTTTCAGTGGAGATAGAAATAGATTTATATATATATATATATATATATATATATATATATATATATATATATATATATATATATATATATATATACCTGATTTTAAAACATCTTTCCAAAGCTGTCTTTGGTTGATTATAGTATACTGCATGTCTAAATCCCCAAACTACCCAGACATCCATAGCTGTCAGTATTAGACTATTTTGATGTCAAGAATTAAGCTATGATGTATAATATGAACTTTAGACCATCAGAATGTGAAGCTGCCTTTCATCATTTACCATTCAGTGTGTTATTAGTTTAGATCAGAAACTTCTACCCCAGCTATCTGACAGCCAGTGTAAAGATTTTGTCTGCTCCTAGCTATATTTGGCTATGTAATTTAGCACTAGGGGCGTTAATGATGTGACCATTTTGTGCTACTTTCCCTCTTTGGTAGCTCGTTAATTGGGTCACTGGGATATTAAGCGCCCTGACTGCTCACGAGGGCCATAAAATCAGACAGCGAATAGCTAGCAAAGGAGGGTTCACGATACAGTGCAGGGCAAACACAAGAAACAGTAGCTGGAAAGGTAGCTAATTAAAATGTTCTGCTTCATTTTTGTCATGTGGCCTCAAGTACAGTATTACAGGAAAACGTGGGATTATTAATCTGCAACTCCAATATTTTCCTTTGCATCTTAACCTTTTGATCTCTCAAAATATCTATCTATATACATAGTAGTTTTACAAGTTAATACACTTAACTGGTTTTAAATACAAGTCAGGTACATTTACAGTACATACATTGAAGCATTTTTGCTAAAAGTGTTCTGTAATTTGGTCAGAAGAATGGACCTCTATTGTCTCATCAAGTGCATCTCAAATGGATTCATGGTATCTACCCGTATGGTTCAGTCAAAAACGTTGTTTTCGTCCGAAAACAACATTTGTGTAGTAAGTGGGCCGCCTGAGCAGTCTATGGAAGTCATAGTGTCAGCCTTGTTAGACGGTAAGCACCCACATCTCTTTTTTTTCATTCATATTTGAAGAGCTTTGATAAATAGGATCCAGTGAAAATATAGTTTGTTGGCTGTTAGAAAGCATCAGAGTTTAGCTTGAAGTGGTTAAAGTCACTTACTGGATATCCAGGTAAGATGTTTCTTAAGCTTCCTCACTTTTCTTCCCACACAGGAAGACAAACAGTGGAGATGCAATTTTGAGTTTACATAAAGTTACATATATATGTGTATAGCTTTGTTAAAGGGAAGTTCTACCAAACTAAGACGTCATTAAGATAGACATTAGGGAATATTCAAAAATAAACAATATCTATAGGTCCTTTTTTGCCTCAGTGTTAGTAATATTTGTAAAGGTAAACTGGATATTAAGGGTTTGTATAAAGTGCTGAAATTCAAACAATATTTTTATCCACTTACAAATGCAGGCATTGGCCAGGTACCTCATATTCCCACTGTTACCATGGCCGCGATGCCCCGCCCTGCAGGACACCCGCTTGACTACAATCAGTGAGTCTTCAAACAATCAGTCAGCAAATAATGTGAACTAACTACATGACCCCTGTATGCACCTCTAGGGTCATGTCCACAATGTAAATCCAAGCTTTGAGGTTCTAAGCATTTTTCCGTAACACTTTTTAAATGAGTCACAGTGTTCAGCTGAGTCGTTAGCAGAGGTGTGTAGAGTAGCCAAAACTCATAACCCAGTGAAAGTACTGTTACTTCAGCAATATGGCAGTCAGGTTTACAGTCATGTGGTTGCAAATGAATAAAATGTATATCATGAACACGGTTACTGCCAAAATGAATAAGAAAGCAATTGTGTTGATGTAACATTTTATTTGTGTGCAACCACTTGACACATTTGAATCAAGAACCATTTTTTCAGTGTATAGAGCGGCATTACCCACTACGCTTCACCAACCACTATGGTTTTGAACAGCTTAATATAAAAAGTGTTACACAAAAGTGTTTTAGACCCTGACCATTTGGATTTACAGTGGCGGAATAAACAATGCAGGATCGTGGGAGTAGTTTATATGCATTATGACTGTTCTATTGGCTCCAAGGACAGTCAGTCTGCAACAGAACACCTACGTTTGTATGTCACCTATGTAGACATGGCACTGCAAAAGAAAAGGAGTGTACTATCTCAAAATAAAAGAAAAAAATTGTGATTACATTATGCTTGGAAGGAGCCTTAAAACCTTCTCAGAATGTCTCTCAGCGTCATTCAAGACAAAACACCACATACACTGCATGCTGCACATCTGCTCTGATTTTACAACATCACAATAATCCTCATTTTATCAGGATCTGGTCTCAGCATGCCTACACCTCCCTGGCCTGCTCTCGTCTCACTTTCAAGGCATCCAGCTAAGCTTATAAGAGCTGTTAATGAGTCTTGGTGTAGATCTAAAGGAGAGTGTTGGGGTGTGACTATGGTCGGGGTGTTAGATCTTGCTGTTCTCCAGGTGCGAGTCGATGTGCTTGATTAGGGCATCGTCAGGGTAACCGACAGGGAAGATCACTTGGCACAGCGGGCAGCTCCTGACGTCACTCTCCTCCTCTGTCTCCATCCACAGCTACACACAGTCCACACACACAATTCAGAGACATTACAACAATAGTACACATCATATTGCATTATAGTAATACAGTTCAACTTCACTTGTACCATGTTACACATTTACTTAAGACCTTAAACTGCAGTTGTTAATCTTATTCAGTTATTGATTTTAAGACTTATTATTCAATAACTACTATTATTGTTATTAACTATAACTATTATTGAACTAATATTTAAGATATAATTAAGAGTGTTAGGAACTTCATTTTGGGCCCACATATGATCCCATGCAGTTTAAAAGGGGTATATTTTACATATTTTTGTATTCTATTTTTCCCCCTACTTGACATGTTTGTTGTTACTGTGCCTTTAAAAGTGATATAAATAAATGATCTATGTTCTGACAGGCTGCCCTGTATTGTGTCTCATTTAGAAAGAAGTAAGGGCTGAAATGTGAAACAAGAAAGTTCAGATCAAAATCCCCAATCAATCAATGTCCCTCCATGTCTTCTGCTCCAATACCCACAAACAGGCTGCAGTAACAACACTCGTCATCACTTCAACATGATAGACTAAACACTGGATGGACTAAACTGCTGTAGGCGGTGCAGATTTTAAATGTATTTAAAACAAGCTGTTTTTGCTGCTAAATTTCCATATGTAAACTGTACATTCTAGGAAGTGAATGGCATGTTTTGAAAGTCTAAAAATCTTTACATAGTCCATCAATTCAAATGCTTAGAGAAACTTAAAATTGAGATATTAATTTCAGGGATCACTGCCTGGTTACTCACATTAATAGAAGGCCAGGACTGGGCATGTTCTGCATGCAGGTATCCAGGCGGGTGGCTCAGAGTGTTGGGCCGAGCTGGAATGGGGAAGGCGGAGCAGGAGGCAGGGCCTCTCATGGTAGAGGCGGGGCCAGAGGCACCCAGTGTCCGCGGGGGACTGATGGGGTGGGGGCAGGTCCAATCCTCCTCGTCCTCTGAGGAGTGGGGCGGCTGGGGGGACGTGTGGAGCGGCGTTGGGCTTGGCTGGGGCTCATAATGCAGATGGGACAATTCTGGGTGCTGGAAAGAGAGCTCCCTGGAGTGTCTTGGGGATTCAGCTAGACCGCCTTCTCCTCCCACGGCCTGAAGCCCAGGCTGTGAGCCTCGTCTCTGGGCTAGAATATGTGGGCTGCCACCGTGTTGTTGCTGCTGCTGCTGTGATTGCTGCTGAGCCTGCTGCTTGTGGTAGCTCTCCACGTAGGGCCGGGGTTTTGGCAGGGTGGAGACGGGGTCCAATGTGAAGCGAGGGGGCCGCTGGTAAGCAGATGGGTCAGCCACCTCTGAGTAGCTGCGGCGCCCTTGAAAGCTAGCCCTCAGGTGGTGACTAGTTGGCCTGCAGGAGTAGGAAGCAGGGCCATCACTGATTTCAGGCAGGGGCGAACGGCGGTGCATATCAGGGGAGAGGCGCTGCAGCACCGGTGAGCGCCTCTGGGGCACAGGGGAGTGCCGCTGCTGGATAGGAGAATGGCGCTGCTGAATGGGGGAATGGCGCTGAGGAACAGGCGAATGCCTCTGGTGAGGTACCGGAGAATGGCGCTGAACTGAACACAAGACAAGAAGAAAAGTTTAACACCGTTTTTATCTTAGCCCTGCAGCATGGCATTTTTAAGCCACTGACTACAATGTTCTCCGACAAATCCCCACAAACTCAAATGCTGGGTTTGGTGTACCCTACCTGTGGACGATTATTAGGAGCTTCTAGAAAGTTTCCACCCATTCCTACTTGATAATTTGGCTCAAAACTACTAAAAAGTAAGAATTCTTAAATAGTTCTTGGCTTGGGCATAGTGTTCTAGGAAAAATCTTTAATAATGTTATAGAACAGGGCTGCCCAAAGTATGGCTTGTGGGCCAAAGTTGGCACGTCAGGATGTCTAAATTTGGCTGGACAGAAAGTTACTCTAACCCCACAATCCTAACCTAACTAGAGAGAATATTTTTATACTCTACGTAACTTATTACTTTTGTTTTTCCATTAAAAACTATATTTTCAAGTGTTTCATGTACAGTAATGTGTTATAAAACTAACTACCTTTTTATTTGACTCAGCCCACCACAAAAATTGCAAATTGCCATTGGTGCAAATACAGGCCTTTCTGACACCTCAGTTTTTAAGAGTGCATACTATTCTGGAATAGTATAAAGCCTGGACTTTATACATCTTATGTTACCTCTGGTTGCGCAAAGTAATTAATATCAAGACAATAACATACCTTGAGCAAACCCCGAGCACTAATGTACTAATGTACTCTTTATTTTACTACCTAAAGCAAAGAATGTTTCAAATGTCAAAGCTGAAACTTAATAAGGGCAAGCATATTTGCAATAACTGTAACTTATCATTAGCATGACTCATAAAACACACACAGACCCCAAAAGATACACTGCTGTCTCTAATGACTTCCTCTTTCCTTCTGCGTTTCCTCTTTTAGACTTCATTGTTTTTCCAAATCATGTGTGGGTGAACCTCTACGTACCGTTCACTTCAAACATTCTAAACATGAACTTTGACCTCAACATGTACAGTAGCAGCATGTTTCTTGTTTAAAAAATGAATATGCATTAGGCACAATCAAGTAAATACGTTTTGCTGTGACTGAAAATTGATAATTAAAACTCAGTCCACCATCTACTAATGTCGTGTGTGGAGCTTGCTGCACTGGTGAGATAGCAATCAGCCATTTAGAGAAATCATCACGTCCATCTATGAATCAGTAGCATTTTTTGTCTATCTCTGCTTCTGCTTTTGGTCTGGTTTCCTATATCAAAGGGGAAACACCATTTATGGTCGTGCGGTTGGGTGCAGAAGTGTTAAAGAGATAAGGGGTGGGCTGTTTATACTCTTCAAGTCTCAAGCAAAGGGCTCTTAAAGCAAGAGTATAAGGGTTGGGCTGTTTATACTCTTCAAGTCTCAAGCAAAGGACTCTTAAAGCAAGAGATAACTAGTGTATGTGAAAAAATCCCATAGGAATCGAGCACATCAAACTTAAGTTTGTTATACTTTTGTGATATACAGAAAAAGTTTGAACACCTGGGCAAATGACTTGTTTTGTTGATTTTCTACAACCTTGTTTCCAAAAAAGTTGTGATGCTATGCAAAACTGAAATAAAAACAGAATGCAATGATATGCAAATCATTTAAATCCTATTTTTAATTCAAATAGTACAAAGACAACATATCAGATATTGAAGCTGAGAAATTTTATTGGTTGTTGAAAAATATGTGCCCATTTTGAAGTTGATGCCAGCAACACATTTCAAAAAAGTTGGGACAGGGGCATGTTTACCACTGTGCTGCATCACCTCTTCTTTTAACAAAGTTCTGTAAGCGTTTGGGAACTGAGGAGACCAACTGCTGTAGTTTTAAAAGTGAAATGTGTCCCATTCCCGCTCAACAGGATTTCAGCTGCTCAACAGTTCAGGGTCTCCTTTGTCGTATTTTTCATTTCATAAATTCAAATGTTTTTACCGAGTGACAGGTCTGGACCTTAGGCAGACCAGTTTAGCCTGGACTCTTTTACAACAGAATGCGGTTTGCCATTGTCTTGCTGAAATAAGCAAGGCCATCCCTGATGGCAGCATATGTTGCTCTAAAACCTGTATATATCATCCAGAGTTAAGGGTACCCTCACAGATGTGCAAGTCACCCATGCCATGTGTACTAATGCACTCCCATACCATCACAGACTCTGGCTTTTCAACTGTGTGCTGATAACAAGCCAGATAGTCCCTCTCCTCTTTAGGCTGGAGGACACAGCGTCCATGATTTCCAAAAAGAATTTCCAATTTTGAATCATTGGATCCAGGATACTTTTCACTTCAGTCCATCTTAAATGAGCTCGGGCCCAGAGAAGGTGGTGGTGTTTCTGGATCCTGTTTATATATGGTTTCTCCTTTGCAGGGTAGTGTTTTAACTTGCATTTGCGGATGCAGTGATGAACTGTGTTCATGGACAATTGTTTTTAGAAGTGATCTTTAGCCCATGCAGTGATTTCCACTCAGCAGTGCTGCCTGAGGACCCAAAGATCATGGCCATCCAATATTGGTTTTTGTCCTTCTCCCTTGCATACAGAGATTTCTGTGGATTCCCTGCATCTACTTATGATATTACATACTGTAGATGATGAAATTCCCAAGTTCTTTGCTGTTTCACGCTGGGAAATGTTTTCCTTGAATTGTTGCACTATTTGCCATGCAGTCTTTCACAGAGTGATGAACCCCTCCTTATCTTTACTTCTGAAAGACTCAGCCTCTCTGGGATGATCTTTTTATATTCAATCATGTTACTGACCTGTTGCCAATTAACTAATTAGCTGTGATTAGCACCTGGTGTTTTTATAACATTACGCAACTTTTAAAAAAAATTTCCATTTCAACATTTGATATGTTGTCTTTGTGCTATTTTCAAATAAATATAGGATTTTAATGATCTGCATGACATTGCATTCTATATTAATTTACATTTTGCACAGCACCCCAACTTTTTTAGAAACATGATTGTAAGTGATATATATATATATATATATACATATATATATATATATATATATATATTTGCTGAGTTTAACATACTGGAAAATATGTATAAAGCAAGTAAAAAGTCTGTTGGATTTACAGAGAATGTACATCGTTGCACATATTAAAGTTTACTCAAAATGTTGTATTCATGTTGTACATACTAAATTTCAGAGGTCGCGCTCTGTAAAAAAAATGGCAAGCAAAGTTTAGTGAACTCCATGCATTTAAAACTCACTCGCTCTGCGAGCAAAACTATGCCCGCTCCACAAGCTAAGCTCCGCAGTATAATTAGGAAACCGTTTGATGGTATGATAAATTGTGATACTGCTCAACCTTTGCCACAGACATGTTTCCACAAAGACAAAGCCGATAAGTGTAATTCCACTGCGACAGTTTTCTGTCCTTGAGACTGCCCCCGGGAGGCGGGATTTCCCATTTCCAACTAATAAAACCTAACTACTTTCATGTTCTTAACACTGAGATGAGCAGAATTTAAATCCCTCAAGACCGAAATTATTTTAGAAGATCTAAAGATGTTCAGAAGAGGAACATAAATCAATCCCGTAGTATATACAAACTGCATATTTGTAAACTGCACAACCCTCCATTTTTCATTTTTTCAGTGTAAAATGTGATCTAACTTTTACACAGACCTCATTTTATGTTTCATTTTTTTCCAATATGTTAAATTCAGCACATAAACAGCGATTGTTCATTAAAATGTGCAGACGTGTTCTCTGAGGATGTGTTAACTTATTTTCACTTCAAAAAAAAAGTCATTTGACCAGGGGCACCCAAACGTCTGCATGCGACTATAATAGAAAGGCTATATTATGTAACACATCGATGGGCGCATCACAGTCTAAATCATCATTAGGGCTACCTGTCTATTGGAGACGCTTATTATAAGTACACTGCTGATGGAAGTACAATCGATGCAGTGAGGCACTCTAATGAGTCAATGCATCATTAATTCATTCTCAGTTTCACTAAATGACTGTATACATTACGGCTAGAACGGTTAAGAACGTTGGTGCCTGTTCAGTACCTGGACTGGCCTGCTCTTGCGAGGCTTTCCTCAGGATTTCTGTCTGTTTGGCACTGAGTGCCTGCAGCTTGCCAAGTTCCTCAGTCAGCTCTGTGTAGGCCAGGGCCAGATTCACCCTGAAAGAGAAAGAGAAAGAGAGAAAGAGACAAAGAGAGGGAGAGAGAGAAAGAGAGAGAGAGAGTGCAAGGGAGCGAGAGACATAGAGAGTGAGCACCAACATGCTGCACATCATCCAATTCACTACGTAACAGGCACCTAATGCAGTTGAACGTTGCACTTTTGGGACGTTATAGACTGCAGTAACACAAAACATGACTGAAAAAAAAAAAACTGAAAAAAAGGAATTCGCCATCATTGAGTCAAAAGTATTGAATGTAAGTGTCAAGATGGCCCATTTTTCTTTGAAACATGTTGACATTGCTTCCAATACACTGATATGGGAACCATTTACATATGTGACGTGAGTCTGCCAATATTACTGGGGAGCACAGTTTCTCAAATCTCTATCAAAACAACTGACTCTGCAACCCTTCACCATGGAAACAATGCAGCCACACAACCATTTTCGATTTGCTTAAAAAGCCTGTCATCACCGATACTTAGGCACAGCAAACCATATTTAACAACATTGTTCAGATTACACTGTTCCATTTAGCCTCCGGATTATGTTAAATTGAGAAAGCTTCCATCAGAATCTGACAAAATCGTACATAATTGCCTTCTCAGAAAATGAGCTGAAAGCCAATTTAAACTTAATATGTTTCTTTATAACCATCTTTTACTTTAGCTACACTATAAAAAAACAAACAAACAAAAAAAGAAAACAAACAGAAATCTTGATCATATGCAGATAAGTATGCCCACTTAGTACAGTGTGCCTTGATAGTGACACGAACCACTGTCTACCACTCACTTCTATCTTAACCCAAAGATAAACTGTAGATTAGGGCACACATGACAGCCACGAATCAAAAATAAGAGTAAGAAAAAGGGGAGATAAGCGCGAAAGGCTGTGGTAGACTGAAACTTCGTCTGTCATCAGATCGCCTTTATCTGATCACATCCACACCAATTTCACACAAACCACCACTGCTTGACTCTAAAAAGATGCTTCTCCACTCATAGCTTTACGATGGTGTCAGATAAGGTGCAGTGGGGAGAAATACAGACTGAGTTGGTGCGTAAGCAAGTGCAAGCACGCAAAACAGCATGCTCTTTTTTCCCCTTTACAAACATGTATTTTCACAGAAGGTTAATTAAAGTAGTTGAGAAACTATTCATTATGGCACTGTAACTAGCCGTCAGCATTTTCCTACAGCGCATTCACCTCAATTAGAGTGTGCTTTTCTAACTAACCACTGCGAATATTCATGAGCGTTCTCACTAGCAATAAATAGACAACAGTCACATGCAGCATGTATAAAAAGGGTGGCAGTTTTCCTGTAAAGCACAGTAAAATACCATGCATTCATTCTTTTTATCTTCTATACTTGGTCTGTCTGTACTATAGAATATTATGAACTATATTCGATTCATCAATGTGTTAGCACACAAAAAGCTCTATATTGCATTTAATTATTTATTGCCTTTAATGTCATTCATTCATTCATTCATTCATTCATTCGTTCGTTCATTCATCCATCTATCCATTCACACGTCCAAAATTTCAGTTTTTGCTGAAATAAATTAGACACATTTGAGGGAAATGGTCAAACGTAAATTCACTACAAATGGAAAATAGGAAGTATATAACATTGGTTCGCGCAACGACAGATCTCATAGGGTTAATGAGGAAGTTCATATGCGCCAAAAACCACGAAACTGCCCGAGTGAGTGAGTCACAAACTTTCATGGCCAAAACTGAACCTCAAGTGCACGCTCAAAAGACTCAAAAGAGGAACACTCGCATTACAGCTATTAAAAAGCTTCAGCCTATCTGAATAAATTCTGTGTCTCCCAGTTTTATATAATCACGCTTTCAGTCAAACAAATACTCAGAAACGCATTCATATTCATGGCACTAGTCCTAGCAGCAAAGTGCAAAAACAGGCCAAACTAGACCCCGGACTAAACACGGCGATCAGTGAACTTTCGAGTTCCTGTGTGCTGCCGGCCCCAGTGAGCTGTAGCATTATATATTCTTACCATGCTGCTCATGACATGATGTCCCCCCGCTGGCTGACCTGGCCATCTGGACATCCCCACACCAGTATAAGTGGTCATGCTAAGTGTGAATGGTAATGGCTCTCTGTATCTCCTATCGTTACAGGTGCCAGGCCAGGAATGCATTCTATCAAGCTCTACTGTCTGAAGACCCACACTGTATGGAACTCTGGGGCTTATTGCTTAACGTTTTAGACAACGTGTGACTTTTCTCTTCACACTTCTACACATACTGACTGATACACACACATATACGTGCACACACACACACACAGTCTTCTAAAAGCTCCACTTTGAAGGCATCACCTTTAGCTTAGAGCACCTTGAAGTCTCTGAAAGTGTGAACTCCTTCCGATAAATGTGTAAAATGGTGTGCTACAGAGGAAGCTGGTATGATGACAGGGTCAGAAAATTTCTCTCTAATCCCAGTGAGCACAGTCATGGGTGTGTGTGTGTGAGAGAGAGAGAGAGAGAGACAGAGAGAGAGTGAGACAGAGACAGAGGGAATGATCTACAGATTACAGTTGAAGAGTACAGAGAAACTGTACTTAAGTGTAAGTATGGGTACAGTGTCAAAACATCACTCAATTAAAAGTGGATGCACTGAGCCAAAATATACTGGAGTGAAAGTCAAAGCATTTCTGCATTTAAACATAGTCAACAATCTAAAAGTCAAAAAGTATCAACATTTAACAAATTCAAGCATCCAAAAGTCAAAAAGTATCAATAAATTGATTTTATTTCTGAGACTTTATGAGTTATAAACTTTGCATGCATTTATGATGTGATACGGTCACAGACAACACATTGCACCCATTGTATCCCATGCCGACTTTTGAGATCTGTAATGAGTATAAAGATCGAAACTAAAATGTAAAGAGTAAAAAATATGTTCCATGTATATTAGACACATCTTTCAAAATAATACTTAAGGCTGAATTCCACCAATTATTTTTCAAATTTCTGTATAATTCAGCCACTAACATGTGAGTCATTCAGAGTGGATTCATGTGAAATTGCAAAGAAACTTACTGACTCAAATTTCTTCACTGTGGTTGTATAGGAACCAGGGGTTGTGATGTCTACAATGCAAATGTAGCCATTTTATTTACCATCTGAAACCACCAGCGAACCTACACCTTAGCTGAGTTTCTATAATGTAATGTTGATGAGGGTGAAATAGTGATAAATCTGAAATTAGCTTTTCCATTGAGGACCATTTTGCCTTAGAATCCCTTACATATTCATGTATTTTAAAGTATGTTTGCAGCCAAAAATATCATACAGGTTTTTGTGAAAGAGCTTTTAGAGGGATTAAACTCTTCAAATGTCTGGTTCCTATCATCACCACTATAAACAGTTCCAACTGTAGGTTTCTCTACAACGGCACATTTCATTTCAAACCACTTTGAATGACTTTGTTTACATCTTAACAATTTACTTATTTTGAACAAATCGGTGAAATTCCTCTTTAAATATAGTAATGAGTACAATCAGTTATAAATCTGGCACCCCTGCTGACGATACCAATCATTTTAGAAGTCTGTGAGTGGTACCATTTGACTGCATTTGTATGTATGTGTCTGTTAGTGTGTGTATGTGTCAAGTGCATATGTAGGCATGCATGCCAGTGCATTGTGGCACCTTTGAAAGAATATTGATGATTCTACAGAGTGTGTATGTGTGTGGGAAGGCATATGAGTGGGCTGCATGAGCTGTGTCTGACCTTTGCCCATAAACTAGAGTTTAGAATATTTGTTTACTTGACACTGACAAATGTTGCCTCACAGGCTGCATATCTTACTTCGCTGAATAAAACATGAATATGAAATTATTCCAACAAACCCAGTTAGCACAGCCCACACTCCATACTATACATTCTCTACAAGAGCCCAAACAAGCAATCATGACAGCCCGGGTATTATTATCCAAAACAGAGAGGAAGAGAGAAAGAAAAAAAATCAGGACAGTTGGATGATAATAACTGAAGAGCGCATGAAAAAAATGAATACAGTAAAATGGATGGGGAAAAAAATACAGCCTACTTTTAAACTTCAAAGGTCCAACTTTCATGACAGCTCCTTAGTGACGAGCTCACTGCTGAAGAGCATGTGCTGCTGGAACCAGCTGTGTGAGGAAAGCACTTTCTACTGACGGAAGAGCAGTTTCTGTATATGACATGCTGTGATGTGCAGAAAATATGCTAAATTCACATCGTTTAATCATATCATCGCTGCCAGAACAAAACAGCAAATTTCCAAGAAAAAGACATTACAGAGAAGGAAAAAATGTTCTAAGCTTTTGATGTAAGATAATGTAACAATAACAAGCCATTTTGCAGCATTTTTATTGGCCTATTTGTCTTGAAATTTTGACACTGTATAAACAGCTGGCATTTACAATTAAGCAAAAAAGTGAAAAATGACAAAAAATGAGAAAAGTTTTGTTCCAACACTATCATCTTAGCAGGTTCATTCAGTGATTATATAATATATATGTATTGTGTAACTAAGTGACTAGGTTGCCTTAAAATTGCACTGAATGTCAAAGAATACGTTTTTTTTAAGACACTTTTCTCACAGCGGGCTTTTCTAACTGTTTTTCTTTTTGCAAAGACTTTCTGTAAAGTGGTAATATTAAGCTTTTGATGAAAGTGATAAAAGCAGCAGTGAGGCTTGTCATGAAATAAATCACGATGGAAGATTTTGCGATTTAATCAGTTTATCTCTTTTGTGGTCTGATAAATATTCGCCAGAATTCAGTAGCTTGCGTGACTGTGACAGGAAAACCTTTTCATGTTTTGATTTTTTTCCCCTCAGAATCTCCAACACTTCAATAAATCAAGGTCACATAAAAGCCAAAAAGTTCTTAAGTCAACAACAAGGCAAATTAGCAGGGATTTTTGCAGCAAGTTTTGGCCATTTACATTAAATGCCAGCACTTACAAGAACTGGTGCTGCGATTCAGACAGAGAACGCAAAGAGAGAGGGGGGAGCCGCCTGTGAAACTCTGAGACGAGCGAGATGGAAAAGGAGTAGGCTTCTAGATACACATCTCCGCTCAGTGTACTTTCAATTCTCTAGTAATTTCTCCATCCTCAGCGAGCAAAGACTGGGCTTTAAAACCGCTGGGTAGATGAAGAAGTGGAGTGGAAGGGTAGAGGACGGAGAGAGAGGAAGGGGGTGTGAGGGTGTGAGGGGGTTACTGAAGGGGGAACAGAAGGGTGTTTTTTATAATTGCTTGTGTGTGAAACTCACGGAAGGAGAAGATCTTAAACTGCTGCGGCAGCGGCTTGATGGTTAAAAGTACTCTTACTTTTCTCAGAAACCATACTGCCCTCTGCTGCTCAACGTCAGGTTCACCAGGGCATCTGAATATGTAACAAATCACTCAAACAAAGACTGAAATGACTACATGATGACTCTATACAGCAAATCTGAGTGAACAGAGTGCTCTGCAATAAGGATTGTATTTACTTACTGTTCGTCTCCCACCTTCTTTATCCACTCCACGTCACACTGGGCACAGCTAGAGCTCACCTCCTGCCCCACACACCAACACAAGAAACAGATATAGCTCAGTCAGTTATAGTTATGTACATATATGTGTGGGGGACATCTTTGGTTTCACTACAAAAATGATATACTGGCCAGTGAAAACATTTTAGTCACTATACTTAATATTTCTCATTACCAGATTGTTATTAGAGCATTTTACTTGTTTTACATCATTTTATCTAGTAAAATCTGCCATTATAATTTCATTATATAAAATGACTTAAAACAAGTTAAAATGACTCAAAATCAGTTGAATAATCCTATATCATATAACATTCTAAAAATTTTATAATAAGAAATATTAATATTACCCCACTGTAGATGTTCTGTATGTGCTCATCTTGTCTTTACTTGACATTCAAGTGCAAATCTACTAAATCTATCTATTATGCAACTGAACTGTATTGAATGTAACAGATTGTAATAAATATAATCCAAAACCTTAACCCAATCCTGAACCTGACTCTAACCATAACGCTGTTGAGTTTTACCAGATAGGTTGTTAACAATTTAAGTATCTGTAGATCATCTATAGGAGGCTATTAAAATAATAGATATACGATATAAATTTTGCAGTGATTACACAAATATTTTATTAAAAAAAAACCTGTAAAAAATCGTCAGCACGTCGTTAGCACGTCTTCAACCTCAGGTGGCTGAGGAGGTTTGGCATGAACCCCCGCATCCTCAGAACATTTTACACATGTACTGTGGAGAGCATTTTAACAGGCTCCATCACCACCTGGTATGGCAACTGCACTGCCATCGAACAGAAAACATGCAGAGGCTGTTGCGAACAGCCTAGTACATCACTAGGGTCCAGAAGGAGGCACAGAAGCATAAAGTCCAGAACCAGCCGGTTCTGAGACAGTTTCTTCTCCATCAGCTGCTGAACATTACACCTCTAAACCATGTCCAAATGTGTACAACTGTATATAGCATAACTTTTATTTCATAACCTATATAACTGTTACAAAAACTGTACAATACTGGTGTATATTCATGTGTATATTTAGAGTCTAAGGTGTATGTATATATTTGTATGTACTTTTAATATATTTTTGTATTTAAGTACTACAAGGGAGTGATGCACCTAAGATTTTTACTCACCTTCGCACCTGTGTAATGTGATGTGATAATAAACGTGACTTGATAAATGTCATTTAATTTTGACTTAATTAGAATCTGCTGCGTTTGGAGAAAAAGGCATTTTGTTTATCCATGAAATTCTTTAGAATTCTTAAGTTTTTTCACTATTGCTGACACATATTCACCTCTTTCATGAAAATTTTGAAAGTGCACATTAAAAATCCTGAAGAGAAAAGGCTGAAATACAAAGGAGTGTAAATATTGGAAAAACAAACAAATAAATACGCTTCAGGTTTGGAAAGGTTGGTTTATCACTAAAGGAGAAATGCTGGATGGTTTTTTCGAATGTGTGGTAGCATCGCAGGACAAAAACTTTCCCGATCTGATGATGCAATCTAACGACAGCAAACATGGTGGTAGATGAGAATCATCCAAGCTACATCTAGAATGATGTTTGCAGGTGTTCGGTGGGCGATGGAGAAGTGGGACAGTGACTTAAGCTCTCACAAAATGTCTCTGAACTGTTAGGGCTACTGTCATATACCCATGACAGAGGACTGTCAGAACTGCTCGACCAAGAGCTACTAAGGGTTTGAAGCCCGTCAAGACTCTTGTTTCGTATAGTAGAGCATAAGCTAGTGGTGTTAACTTCAGGAATTTGTGCATAACAGCAGCTGATGGATACTTTGACTAATAAGCATTTTTTGTTTCTGTTTCCCTTCAAATTTGCAAAACATTTTGATGGAAGCCCAGCTTTAGCAATGACTTTAGCAACAGACACTGGTTTAGGGATGACTATGTATTTGACAAATTTGGATGCTTTTGACCTTTAATTGCCCTTTAAAGTAGATGTGTGTGTACTGACCTGTTGTCTCTGGTTATTCTGAAGCTCTCTTAACTCTTCCTGCAGTCTCTCACACTCTGCTTTTAGCTCCTCCTCCCTCTGACATGCCCCCTGAGCCTCATGCCGCGCCCCTTCTAGCTCCGCCTCCAGCTGCTGCAGTTTGAGATCGGAGAGAGTATCCAGACTACGGGAGCTCTGAAGGGTCAAAGCTGGACAGTCCAGCCCTGGTGCAGAAAACACACATGCACACACATGAAATCAGCTGTTTGCATATTCAACAGTAATCCATTCTTACCAGACAATGTGTCTGTATGAAAAGAAAAACTTTTTGCCTTTACTAACAGAGATCTGGACACAGTGGAACACATATTAAAGCTTAAAGCTCAGCTTCTCATCAAAGGTCGCTCAGCAACAAACCATGAACACTCCTGATGCAACAACATACACAGGTGATCCTCAAAGCAGCCGCTGTGTGTCGACCTAAAATATGCTTTCTAATGTCTGTCTGAGCATCAAATGTCTTTGAGGCGAAACAGACTTTGATCCTTTTCAGCTTGCAGCTCCCATTCCCATAATATGTGTTAGCAAGCTGACAAACGGTGACAAAATGGACCAAATCAATACAATCCCCCCTCTTCCCCTCCAAAAGGACAAAAAGGAATCTTTAAGGTTAATTGTTTTGATCAAACATATAAAAAATATAGAAACATGAATGTTTTCATGTCTAGATATGACAATGCAAGTGCTTTTTCATCAGTGACAGTCTGTCTCAGTTTTTCTAGCCAGATCCATCCCTTTGTGTCTCATCACCTGCAGTGGCAATGGGGTAGCACCGCCCCATGTCATGTTAATCATCTGAACTTAGTTTATAGTCTCTCCTGTTTATCACTGTGCCAAGCTGTGTCTTGTTACCTGCCTATGTAAATACCTATGTATTTATAGTGCTTGGCTGCCTCCTAAATTGCATACTGTTCTACTGTACATAGTAGCTTTGTCCTATTTTGATATACTATTCAGTATGGTAGTATGAGATTTTGAACACAGCTGCATTACAAAGGTCTTAAAATAATGGCAACTGTAACCAAACAGTACACAACATATCTAACAGATCTAACCAATATCTAGTCATTTGTATATTATTATCTAAGGTGCATTGTTATTGTTTGGTAATATGGTTAGTTTGTCATTAGTTCCTAGAGTTTGTTCTTGTTGTTTTGCTTCTCAGGGTTTTCTAACATTTGTCTTTGCTTTGTTAGGGGTCCAAGCACCGAAGGTCTTTTTTTGCTCAGATTCACATAAATTATTTTTACAAGATGATTACAAGATGAGCCTGACTGGCCTGAAGGGGGTGCTATAGTGTGGTGTTTTATGTATTAGCCCATACCAACTACACCATAAGGCTTACAGACAATTCTGGGTACTGTTGATTTCTTGGCTCATACTAAACCAAAAATTCAACAAAAACACTTAACACTCCCTCCCTCTCCAGCCCCCACCAGGAAAAAAATTGAAATACATAACCTTCTATTGTGAATTAGTCCTAGGCTTTTCACTGAATCCTGAAGAGCCTGAACCTCAATAATTTAAAAAAAATCCAGTGGAAGAACTCAAAAGCACTTATAATTGTATTAGCCAATCAGAAGCCAGCACACTGTTCTTATGTTTATGCATGTAGAGCAGCAAGTCAGTATGAGAGACTGCAGCACTGAACCTGTTAGTGAAGTTCGGGTGCTGGAGCGAGACGGTCTGTTGTTGTACATTTCATGATAAGCACTTTGTCATGTGAACTTTCTACCCATGCCATATCCCCCACACTCTTTCAAGAAAGGGCAGTTTACAAGCGCCAGAGCAGTGAGGAAAGCGAGGTGAGCAAGCTACTAGCCTAGCAGCTACCGAGGTGAAAACATTAGCCCTGTAAGAGAGCAGAGTAAACAGAAACACAACAATATACTGACATTTGTAAACAACATGGTCACCACATGCCAATCAATCCTTCTGGACTAGAGCATTGTTGACAAAAACAGCTGTGACTCACAAAAGCTTTTGCCTGATTCTAAAGAAACTTGATTTGCTTGAGTTCTGAGATAGCCTGTCAGTTCTTGTACGTCAAGAGGGGGCACTATAAAAGCTAAGTAGCTGTTTCTAAGTAGCATCCATATATTCTATTAATCTGTGCTTTTGCTAGCTTCATCTTTGAGCTTGCTTACAGTTGTGTTTTAAAGATGACAGGATAATTGGAAAACTATGCCCACCATCTGCCAATCAGCTTTCAGCGGACATATGACAGGCTTAATGTTGACCAATCGTCATGAAATTTGAATAGTGTATTTGTATAGGGACATGTGTGTACCCTATGAAGTTTCAAAACAATTGGCCACTGGGGGCGCTACTCAATTTCCAACAATCTAAAATATACCTCCTACATCATTTCTTTTGTGGACATGAAACTGGATTCAAAGAATGCAATTTAGTCTGCCTAATAGCTTTGCAATTACAAGTGTTTCATAAAATGTATTCATAAAATCAGGATTAAAACAATCTGGCATCTGTAGGTAAACATGTTGACAATGTCGACATTTTTATTCATATATGTGGTGTTAGCAATTGTGAATTAAATGATAAAAACTCGAAAACTGTTAGTCTCATCATCTCAAAATTTAATTGAATTCAGATTTAGATGATGAATGCAAAATCTGACCCAGATTGGCCTTTCGGGGGTGCTTCAGTGCCCAATGAGACTCATAATAATTAAAAACCTAAATGCTATTATTTTTTCTTGATAAAGATAAACAAGGATGTGTTTGAGCTGTTTTAGCTGAACAACTTTGCAATTACAAGTTATGCGAGAAGTTGGAATGCTTGTCTGGCTATTTGACGTATTTTTCTGCAGCTTAGTAAACAAATGTCAAGAATTATCTGTACTAAACTTGATTAATAATCATAAAATACGAATGATTTCATGACTTCTGATAATGTCTGACTCCTATCATTTATCCTGTGTCTGCAAAAAAGCTCCAGTCCATCGTATTAAACCTCACCGAGCTTATTCATGTTTGGACCCTGTAGATTTGTCGCTTGTGAGTATATACGTAATATATATATATATATATATATATATATATATATATATATATATATATATATATACATATTTTGGGAATACCCCAATATATTATATTCTTGCTTATTGACTCACAGTGTTACTAAGCACTAGGTCACACATGTACACTGCCATCTTGGCTACTCCCAAGTTCAATTCCCAGCCCTGGGTCTAAGGAAACACTGGTCTTGCTCAGATTTCATTGGGGGTTGGAGAGTTTACATGTCCACGGTACAAGTGACCAAGTCATAGACTCCACACAGCACAATTTAAGAATACAGTTGCAGTACAATGCACAATTATGTTTAAACACAATAGATATGCAGAACAACAAAATCTGAAAAGGACGGTAAAACATTAGGTGATTGGATAGGTGTGGATCTTTTTGTTATGTGTTAAATTGATGTTAAAAGGGCCCATATCATGGAATCATGGAATTTTTTCTCACTTTTTAATTGATTTGAAGTTTTTTGATATGTATAATTTATTAACCTGCCCACACAGTCTATGTAAAGAAACTGAGCTGAAAAAATCCAAGTAATTGTTTTTGTAATGTTCTGAAAACCGATGCATTTCCACCAATGCATCCTACAGCAGTTCCCACACTTTACCATTAAAGTTATGAAAAATGTTTCAGCTCTGAGTGCTTTTTCAATGAGGCACAATACAGGGCAGCCAATCGGAACAGAGGCAATTTACATATATCAGTCTTAAAGGCACAGTAGCAAAAGCAGCCTGATTCGCTCCAAAGGAGAAGCTGGAAAATGGTCATGTGAAAATGAATTTTGTTATGTTACAAACATTATAAGTAGACTTTAGGGAAAACAATCAACTGAAAGAAGAACGCAGGAAATGGACTCTTTAATGTTTAGTGTTATGTGTTGTCTTCCACAAATGCACAGTAGATGCAGCAAAGCCAGAGGCATGTGCCGTGCGGAGAGCAGCAGGCCAGCAGGGCTGGGCTCAGCTCCCGCTGCCTCCTCATTTCAGCCTGCCAGCAATGACGCCTTGATGATGGAGGATTGGAGACTGCACTTCTCCCCCAGTGTGGGCACTGTGATTCAGCTGCTCATAAAGAAACAGTCCTTGAGCAGGCACCTATTGTGATGGTTCAGCAATAAGCAAGCATGAACTACCAGACGCCCACATACACACCTACATTCTGCACAGTTTTTCTACACTCTAGACTTCAGTTCATACGCTTGCAGCCAAAATCTAATCTCTCGTCTCATACGGAACCACACATCCCCCCCGTTGCATAAACTGATTGAATTGAATTGTAGGTTGCACTGCATGAGTCAGCTTTTCACAGAATTTTCTCTTATCCAGCCTAAGGACCAGGGGTCAGAGGGTATGACCACCAGAATCTGTGCTGACCTGTGAGGCTCTCCTTTCCCTTGTGGCTCATTCTGGACATAGAAAGTGAGTGGGATGAACTGTTTGTACAGCCATCAAACAACAACAACATACTGAGGGAAAGCAAGGAGTTGGAAAGAAGTTGTTCTCTTTCTTCAGGGAACTGATTGGAATTAACGATTTTGTTCTACAAGTTCTAGAAGTTAGACAGACTGGATGATGTCAATTAATGTTGCTGAAAAAAGTCACAATTATACAGTGCTACTTCATTCTCATGGTGAAAAAAAGGGGCTGAAAATTAGTTGTTAATTAGGCGTCTCGACTCTCGTCAAATTTAGAGCAATTGTGAACATTTAAATAAGCTTTTCCGGCCAGGGGGATGCTATTTTTGACTCTCTTTTGAGACGCGCGTCGTCTGTACAGGCTGTGCACAGAGGCAGAATACATGCCAACACATATCCCCTCACACCTACCTAGGTTTGTTTTTACATAAAGCCAGGGCATTTTTATTTGTTTTCTTGTATTTCATATATACATCCACATTTTTTACTTATGTAATATGAGTTACACTTCATTTAAAGGCTACCTATGTAGGACTTCATAACAGTGTTATGAATGAAAGAGATGTAAGCCACTTCACTTTAAGCCCCTTTATATTAATACAGTGTGATTTACTTCATAAATCATTTAACCAACATGTGTCCAATGTTACATATGTAAAGTATGCATAAGCATGTATGACACATTGAAATATGCATAAGCATATGCATAAGCATTGCATGGTCACTTTTTGTCATTAGATGACAATGTTTTATGAAGTAAATGACATTGTATTGACTAAAGGGGCCTTAGACTATAGTGACAGACATTTGTTTTATTTATAACACTGTTATGAAGCATCATTCCCACATAATAGAACATATAGGACAGAGGCCTATTTAAAAACACCATATATAGCTCTATAGAAGATTCTGATGCCCTGGAATAAAGTGATATTTTTCAAATATATTTTGCCATAAATGTACATATACATATACACACCAAAATCCTGTACTTGAGTAAAAGTAAAATATTACTTGAGAGAACATAGAAGTTCCCTGTCTGTATTTCCACTGAAGGGCAAATATATAATTATTACTTGTTTAATGTATTTAAACATTAAAAGTAACAGAACTTTATGCTCTGGGTAGAACTTTGAGATCTGTGTGGCTGCAGATGTTAATAACAGCATTATGCATTCATGTCTGCAGTCACACAGGTTTCATGAATAGAATCTGAAATATATCGATGTATATGTATATATATATATATACATATACATATATATATATATATATATATATATATATATATATATATATATATATATATGATCTATAAATATACAAAATTGATATATGGTGTTCTTTACTTGAACCTTCCCTTATAAGTTCTATTGCTTGGGAAAGATGCTTCATAACAGTGGAACAAATGTCCATCATTTTAGTTTAAGGCCCATTATGTCATTACAATGTCATTTATTTCATAAAACATCTTATGTCAACATAAGCTGTTCATAAATACTCATAGTAGCTTTATAATGTTCTTCATAGCTTATGCATGTGTTATAAAGTCCTTATGTAGGGAGCCTTCTAACAAAGTGTACTTTAATATGTAACTACCTATACATAATAAGAATTTTCTCAGCCTCTAAACATTACCCTCACCATAACTTCAGTAACCAAAACAAAAAGGGTTTTTCCTTTCAGAATTGAAAAAAAAAGTTGTGTTGTACTTGACATTGTAGGTTGTCCCTATCATTCTTGGTTTCCTTCAAAATGAGGATATTTTTGTCCTGAATGTACAAAGCCAAAAAAAATAAATAAATAAAAAACACACACAAAAACAGCTAAACAGGACTCACTGTGTGTATCTGGACTGGCATGTAGTTGCAGGTACTGCATGTCCTTGTTGTGCAGCTGTGTGTTGAGTTTGTGTAGCGAGCTGTCGCGCTGCCTCAGTGCAGCCTCCAGACTGTGGATCCGCTCCACGTGCTTCTCTACCAGAGACGTCTGGGGTACCAGTTAAGAGAAAGACCAAAAAACAGAAAGATCTAATGCAGAGACAGTCACTGAATTACCAAGACAAAGGAATAGACTCAGAGAAAGGACATTGTTTTTACACTTTGTGAGAATGCCTAATGACTCTGTGCCAACAGCCAAAGAGGAGAATGTGTAAACTCAACAGCTGATGGCTAGCTGAGCGTGTGAGTGTAGCGAGAGGCACAGATGCTCTGACGCTTGCATCATGTAATGTACAAAAGTGAGTCCTTTGGCCAGAGCCAAATATGAAGCCATTTGGAACACATGAATAATACTGACAGCGTAATTATACATATAAAATTTAGGAGCTTCAGGTTTCTAAAGCAGCAGTAGGTAGTCTGCAGGCCTGGCCCAGCCACATGAGAGCAAAATCATTTGGCATCTCTCGGCCCTGTACCCAATTAGTAGGTACGGATGGTCCAGATTAATCAAATGGACACCTGGCTAGATTAAGGCCCAGAGCAGATGCTGAGGCTACTTATAACTCCTGCCTGTGGTTTCTGGAGCCAAACTTAGCATGCTGTCAGTATAGAGGCTAGACTTTTATATGAATGTTTTAGCAAGATCCATATCTCACACTCACCATCTTGTCCAGGTCTCTTTGGAGATTGGTCTTCTCCATGTGGATCTTCTCATAAGCTTGAATGACATCTTCCAGCTGTTCCTCTCGCTCCTTACTCTTCTGAAGCTGGATGCCACACAAACAAATGCATGTGCATAAAAAGATGAAAAGGGTTCTTTTGGAGTCTCTTTCTGGTGATGCCACATAAAAAAATTGTAGATGAGATGTGTAAGGGTGAAGACTTTTTTTTAAATAAGAACCTTCACATACTGTAAAGATTCAGTAATAAACATACAGTAATGTGCCAATAGACTCATAAGTTGTTGATGTTCTCAGATCAATGGACTGACCCCAGAGCCCAGACCACAGCTTCACTGAATGTAACAACCCCAATTCCAAAAAAGCTGGGACACTGTGTAAAGTGTAAATAAATGTAAATAAAACCAGAATGCAATGAGCAGCAAATCTCATAGACCCATATTTTATTCACAATAGAACACAGAACACATATCAGAAGTTGAAAATGAGACATTTTACCATTTCATTAAAACTATTAACTCATTTAGAACTTGATGGCAGCAACGCATCTCAAAAAAGTTGGGACAGGGCCATGTCTACCATTGTGTAGCATCCCCTCTTCTTTTAACAACAATCTGTAAACGTCTGGGAAGTGAGGAGACCAACTGCTGAAGTTTTGGGAGAGGAATGTTGTCCCATTTTTGTCTGATGTAGGATTCTAGCTGCTCAACAGTTAAGGGTCTTCTTTGATGGATTTTTGGTTTCATGATGCGCCAAATTTTTCTATTGGTGAAAGGTCTGGACTGCAGGCAGGCCAGTTCAGCACCTGGACTCTTCTTCTGCGAAGCCATGGTGTTGTGATGAATGCAGTATGTCGTTTAGCATTGTCTTGCTGAAATATGCAAGGCCTTCCCTGAAAGAGACGTTCTCTGGATGGGAGCATATGTTGTTCTAAAACCTCTATACACTGTTCAGCATTGATGGTGCCTTTCCAGATGTGTAAGCTGCCCACACCATAGACACTACCGCAACCCCATACCATCAGAGATGCAGGCTTTTGAACTGTGTGCAGATAACAAGCTGGATGGTTCCTCTCCTCTTGAGTCCGCAGGACACGGTGTCCGCGGTTTCCAAAAAGAATTTCAAATTTTGATTCATCTGACCACAGAACAGTTTTCATTTTGCCACAGTCCATTTTAAATAAGCTTTGGCCCAGAGAGGAGGGCGCTGTTTCTGGATAGTGTTGACATATGGCTTCTTCTTTGCATGATACAGCTTAAATTGCATTTGTGGATTGCATGGTGAACTGTGTTCATAGACAATGATTTCTGGAAGTGTTCCATGTCCATGTCCATGCACTGATTTCCACTGCAGAATCATGCCTGTTTTCAATGCAGTGCTGCCTGAGGGTCCGAAGATCATGAGCATCCAACACTGACTGTCAGTCTTGTCCCTGGCGATTTCTCCAGATTCTCTGAATCTTTTGATGATATGTACTGTAGATGGTGGGATATCCAAAATTTTTAGACGCAGTTTTTTGCAGGTTGGTGAACCTCTGCCCATCTTCTGAGAGACTCTGCCTCTCTAAAATGCTCTTTTTATACCCAGTCATATGAGCTAGTTGCAAATTACCTCTCCAGTTGTTTTTTATTAGTACCACTTACTTTTGCAGCCTTTTGTTGCTCCTGTCCCAACTTTTTTGAGATGCGTTGCTGCCATCAAGTTCTAAATGAGTTAATGTTTTTCATGAAATGGTAAAATGTCTCAACATCTTTCAACATCTGATATGTGCTCTATGTTCTATTGTGAATAAAATATGGGTCTATGATATTTGTAAATCATTGCATTCTGCTTTTATTTACATATATTTACATTTTACACAGCGTCCCAACTTTTTTGGAATTGGGGTTGTACTTGGACTGTGAGAAGCAAGAATGCAACCAACGTCTAAGACTCAACTTTAGAGATGTGGAAAAATATACCACCAGATTTCTTTAAAAAATTCAAAGCGAGTCTCTCAAAAAAGAACAGAAGCTGTAATAAAAGTAAAGCATGGACACAATAAATACTGACAAAATGCTACATTTAGTTGTTTCTGTGTATTTTTCTGATGCTGAAGAGTAACTTGTACTTAATGGCAGTTTTGATTGGAAATTAAATGAATGAACAGTGGTCTCTTGCTTTTGCACAGTACTGTATACGCAAGCCAAGAGCCGTTTAATGATCTTTATAAGAGTACACACACAGAGTGAGAGAAAGAAATATGACTATGAGTGAACTTTTAAAATGTTATCAGTCTAAGCCTCCCATTTTCATGCTAGCTGGCAGGAATACAGATGTTTAATATGTAACAATATGATAAATGAAGGGAAAAAAAACAGAAATAAATTGAAAGCCAGCCTCATGTTTTTGCCTGAACTGTGCTTCAGTGCAGACACATAAGCATCCACAGTGATTATCCCATTGTGAAGCTCTCAGCACTGATCTCCTGCCCTTACAGATAATGGTGTTTTGTATTGGGCTCCACTAAATCACATAAAGGCAATTTATTTTAAAGTGCTCCGGTGCCAGAATCCCACTACAGCTTTGCTGTAAAGCTCCGGATATGAGGAAGAGCGAGAAACATACGGGATTAAAAAAAGAGTGAGAAAAGAAAGGAGAAAGAAAGAGATGGTTAAGACACAAAGCAAGGAGGAACGCCACTGGAGCATGAGCAGGAGAGAGAGGTGAGGAATGAGCGATGTAGCCATGCAGTAATGAACGTCAGAGAAAGTGAGGCAGGATAGGGAGCAGGAGAGGAGTAGATGACATAGACAGTGAAAGAGAAATAGAGAGAAAGAGAGAGGGAGGTGATCACGCTGGAGCAGAGGAGGCAGCTGGGTGGCTATGGAAACACATAGCTGCCATCATTAATTGATGACAGGCTTCAGAAGAAGACGAGTTGAGGTGCAGTGAAGGAGGACGGCTGTGATCATCTCATTACATCACCACATCACACGCACTAGGGGGAAAAGCTTCCCCTTGTCTGAAAGTTGGCCCAAAGCATGCAAATCTGATTACAGCAGAATGTACGTTCCACATTTTTTGCCTCTGCTATAAACTGGATAAATGGATAAACACAATGGTGTGGAACTGAGCTGAACTGGGTTGTGTTGTGTAATATGCTCCTCTCACCTCATGAGTAAGGATGTTGATTCTTTGCTGTAGATTTCCATTCTCTGACTGGAGCAGGGCCGTGTCTTTGGGCTCGAAGGAGCAGTATGAATTCCTGTCCTCACCGAAGTCACTGATCATTGGAAACTGCAGACACACAGATACACCATCACTGCTTTTGTGCATCCCGACTCAACAGTATAATCATCAAAAATTAAAGGAATATTTTTAAACATTTCCTAATGTGCAGCATCGCTATCATGCAAACTGATTAGCAAAGATGATAATTATGATGCGTATCACTGTACTTTGAAATGAACAGAAAAAAACACCTGACAGAAGCTCTTAATGGTCTAGGTCTGGAATACACTATGTGGCCAAATGTATGTAGACACCCCTCCTTGAATTCAGGTGTTTTAGCCACTTCCATTGCTACAGGTGTGTAAAATCAAGCAGATAGCTATGTAATCTCCATAGACAAACACTGGCAGTAGAATGGATCGTACTGAGGATCTCAGTGGCTTTAAACATGGCACTGCCATGGGACATCATCTTTGCCACAAGTCAGGTCGTAAAATTTTTCATTTTTGCCTCACTAGATCTTCCAAAGCCGCGCTGCCGAGTGCAGAAGCATGTACAATATCACCTATCCTTTATTGCACCACTCACTACAGAGTTCCAATCTGCCTTTGGAAGCAACATCAGCACAAGAACTGTGCATCAGGAACTTCATAAAATGACTTTCATGGCTGAGCAGCTGCACACAAGCCTAAGATCACTAAGCGCAATGCTGAGTGGTTTAGCCTGCCAAAGCACGCTGCCACTAGACTCTGGAGCAGAGGAAATATGTCCTCTGGAGTGATGAATCACATTTCACTATCTGGCAGTCTGATGGACGAATCTGGGTTTGGCGGATGCTGGGAGAACACTATGTACCAGAATGCATAGTTGCAACAGTGAAGTTTGGTGGAGGAAGGATAATGGTCTGGGGCTGTTTTTCAGGGCTAGTTCCAGTGAAGGGTAATGTTAATATTACAGAATACAAAGACATTTTAGACAACTATACTCTATCCATCTTTGCGGCAACCAGGCCTTCTCATCCAACATCAGTGCCTGACCTCACAATTACTCTTTTGACCGAATGGGCACAAAGTCTTACAGATGCACTTTAAAATTATGTGGCAAGCTGTTCTAGCTGCAAAGGGAATTCAATATTAATGCCTATCAATTTGGAATGGGATGTCCAACAAGATCAATAGGTATGATGGTCAGGTGTCCACATACTTTTGGGCATGTAGTACGAAGAATGCAGTCACAGAATATTAATTTTTCTATTTTTGAAGGCCCATCCACAGCCTTCATTAGACACTCAGTAATCCCTTTTGTAGCCTTTTCTGCTCTGAATTTCTTTGAGGACTTGTATTTGTGTATTTTGCATATTATTATTATTATCGCTGGGAGCACAAAATTTGTACTCCATAGCGGGAAGACACTCCCGCACTGATTTAGATGAACAAACAACAAACCCCTCAGGAGGCAGAGCACCTTTGATGACAAATATTTATATTATGAGATGTTTTGCGAGGGATATTTTAGATGGATTGCACAGAAACATCAACACTGATGTTATATAAAGAGGTGGGAGGATTTAATATTGCAAGGTCTTATGAAATAGGCTTTGTGGACAGGGTCTGCCATCACTTTAGAAGACTCATTCAGCCACTGTATGTCAAATAAGGATCAAAATGAAATCTCCATTTAGAAATCTTCTTAGTTGATTAGTTTAGCTAGGTGTTTCAGCACTGGCACAAAAAGGAGACCTGATAAAGCAACAGTGAAGCTCCTCCATCACACTCAGTGTTGTTCAAGCATAGCTGAGCATGTCAGGAGAAGTTGTGTCATAACCTGGTGCACCTTATATATTTTTCAGTTCCCCACAGCGCAGAGGGAGCTTTGAAGTGCAAGCTGGGTGAATTTGTTCCCCACGTTTAGGCCTGTACTGAGCACTGAGCTGTGCAGAGCACAGAGTCCCGGAGGCTATCTGCAGCCCCACTCTCTGCCTGAAAGCAGCTGCTGCTCTGTGGCTAGTCTTGCAAACGTGCCTACATTGACCTGAGGCAGGCCTGAGTCAACAGCTTTAAAGGGGATATAATCTACATTTTTCAATTTCTTTTTTTCTTATGAAGTCGACTTATGACAGAAAAGGTTGTAATTCATATTAACACTACCTTTTTCCAACCTCTTTTTATTCCTTAGAATGTAACAGGCTGCTCTTGTTATTGTACTATACATTTAAATTTTTATGTCATTTGGCAGATGCTCTTATCCAAAGCGACTTAGAATTTAATCATGTTAAAGAGGTAGGCAAATGTAGTGTTAGGACTCCTATTGGCATTTATAGTGTGCTTGCCCAAGCAGGGAACCAAACCAAGTCTGTCACATGGAGGGCAGCGGTGGTACCAGCTACCATATACCAACTGCCAGGGCCCAATCTAGTCTTTTGTGGGGCCCTAAGCAGGATTTGGTGCGGGGTACCATCTTTGCTAGCTGATGTACTGTCAAATTAGGGCAAGATTGTCCAATCTTATCCTCAAAAGGCTGGTGTGGTTGCAGGTTTTCTCTCCAAACAAGCTTAAGCACACCTGATTCTACTTGTTTAATCAGTTTTGGTCTTTTCATCAGGTGACCTCCTGCTTTGTTGGAGTGGATAAAATTAGACACCTCTGAATTAGAGGCTAACTATTAACAATGATGACCGCAGGCTGCCTAAATTATGTACCTTTTTAACTAGTTAACTTAGGTATTGCTGATGAATGGATGCATGTTTAGGATTCTAATAAGTTACACTTAAATTACAGATAACCCCCTCAGCATTTTTCTTCTTTGGTGATTCATCCTCATGTTTCACACGATTGGCTTTTCATCATTAATGTCATGCTTTCATGTGTGCATACACAAGGATTAATCACAGCCTGAGTATCTAAATCTAGAAACTCGTTAACCACTGCTTTAAAGTGAGTTTTTCGTGTCTGTGTAGGTTTTGTGAAGCTGAAACTCAGTCAGAAAGCCTGTCTAAGTAAAAATAAGCCACTCCTTCAAAATGTCTGGATACTCTGGAAGGCTGCAATGATGCATTTATTCCCAGAAGCTATGCAATGACACATTCAGCAGCACAATGTTTAATCGTTTCTCTCAGATCAGCAACTCTTCTCCGTATCACTTCAAAGTGTACTGGCCTGCTAAACTGCTGTAGGCTGAATGGGCAGTCATATGTACAGTTGTACACAAAAGTTGGGGCACCCCTGGTCAATTTACATGTGTTGTTAACACATCCTCTTCAGAGAATACACTTCTGCATATTTTTATACACAATTATTAAAACTTATTTTCTGAAATTAACACACTGGAAAAAATAAAACAAAACATGGCCAGTGTAAAAATTATATTTATTATATTTTATGTTTTCATTGTTTTTCAATACGTTCATCCTTCTGGGTCACAGAGGGAGCTGGAGTGGTCAATGGGCGGAAGGCAGGATGTACCCTGTACAGGTCGCGAGTCCATCACAGGGCAACTTAAAAATCAGCAAAATGTTATTTGATTGAGGGTATTGAAACTTTTGTATATGACTGTAAATATGTTTGCGATTGTTAAATTACAACCAGGATGAATTCAAAACAAGCTGTTTTTGCAGCTTAGTTTCCAAATATGGACTCGGGAGTAATCAGTACGTTTTGAAACGTGAACAATGTTCACATAATATGAAAAAATGTTTTTCCATATTATAGTTCCTTTAAATGGAGTGCTCTCCCTTGCATCATGACCAGTACAGCAAAATTCATAGTGTTTTATTAAAATGAAGGTGGTCTCAATTACACACTATACAGATATCCACTGAAAAAAGTAATACATTGAATTTACTTGATTCAAATATGTACATTATTTATGCATTAATGAAATATATTACATCAACTCAGTTATTGCCAGTAAAGTGAGCAAACTGAAACAAAGATGCATGTGGAAATTATGAACATTTGAATCAAGAAATTCAAGGAATTACATTATTTTCAGTACGTATTTGCTAGTATTTGTGATTTTTCCTTATGCAGATCCCAACAGTTACTCAAGTTGTCAGGTCATTCTGAGGGATCTCACAGATAGAGCAGATTTAATGCTCCAGGGAAGAGGTTATAGTGGATCATGGCCATCCAGCACTGCTGAGTGCAGCAGTCTTACTCAGCCTAGCACTACTACAGCATGAGTAAGATTAATGATTCAATTATAGACACGGCAGGGAAGATGCAACATTCTTTTGGGTAAAGATGTCCTGGGGGGATCCACAGACATGTTAGGTGCATGTAATTAAAGGCTAATGAATAATCGGTCAGTCGAAGTATTGCGGCTGTATTGCCCTTTGAACTACAACATTATTGGTCTCTTGTGGTTTATGCATGTGTGTGTATATATATCTCACCACAATATCAAACACTTGGCACCATTTGAAGCTGCTCTTTACATAATGTGTACAGTAAATGATGACTAGTCAAAATAATTTTGAATTTAATTATTCAAAATAAAATTTAGTTACATAAATGTTACGTTAAATATGAACTTTTTCCATGGTAATGAAAGTTACCATTTCAGAAACAACAGGTTTTACAACATCAAAAATATATATGCAGACATTGTTGTGAAAAAATATTTATCACCTCCTGATTCCTTCTATTTTCTATTTTTTACTTTTTTAATTGTTTTAGATCTTCAAATATACTTTAATATAAGACAAAGACAACCTAAGTAAACATACAAAATACAGTTTTTAAATGATTTTATTTACTGAAGAAAAAAGCTATCCAACACCACCTGGCTCTATGTGAAAAAGTAACTGACCCCTTTGTTACTCAATCAACGAATTAACCAAATTTAATTGATAATTGGGATCAACTGTCCCAACTAGAGACACCCAGGGTTGATTGCTGCCAGCCCTGTTGAATCTAAACATCATGTAATTAAAACCTTTCCTGCAATGTGTGGTGGGTTAATAAAAATAAAAATATATTAGTCTGAAAACGTTTACACAGACATTTGTAAAGCTCTGGGACTGGAGCAACTTATCACAGTTGACGGAACCTTGAATTCCGCTTTCTACCAGAAAGTCCTACAGGAAAATGTCTGGTCATCAGCCCATGATTTCAAGCTCAAGCGCAACTGGATTATGCAGCAAGACAATGATCTGAGCAAATCTACCTCTGACTTCCTCAAAAGAAACAACATTAAGCTTTTTGAGTGGCTTTGTCAAAGTCCTGACTTGAATCCGACTGAGATGCTGTGGCAGCTCTTTAAATGGGCAGTGCATGCTTGAAAGCCTAAAGAAGTTTAGGGGGCAGTTACTTTTTACAGTTTCTATATCATGGGTGATAAAGGCATTACAAGAGTTTTTTCCTTCCTTAAATGAAATAATAATTTAAGAAATGTGCTTTGTTTTTCTGAATGCTCTCCCTGCCTTATATTGCATTTTGTATGAGGATCTAATGTGACAAATGTGCAAAAACAGAATAAATTAGGAGGGGAGCTGATACTTCACAGAACTGTATACAGTGTCCTCCACAAATATTGGCACCACTGGTAATTATGAGCAAAACGAGCTGTAAAAATACTCTTAATTACTTACCCTTTTGATTTTTCATCCAAAATATTAACAAAAATCTAATCTTCATTTAAGATATAACGATTAAACTAAAAAAAAAAAACTAAATCTTGTCATGAAATAAATATCTTTCTTAAATCTATGTGTGCCACAACTGTTTGCATGCCTAGAAATTATTAAGAGTGAAATTTTATATCCCCATTCATATGTTATGCTTTTAAGTTCTCCTGAGCGATTAGGGAACACTTAACTGGTCAGCCATGACTTCCTGATTCTAAGAGATTAAACACAGGCCAAATTTCCTTAGTTATCCATCGATATGAGAAAGACCAGAGAATACAGCAATGATGTATGACAAAAGGTTGTTGAGCTGCAAAAATCAGGAAATGGCTACAAAAAAATAGCTAAACAGCTAAAAATGCCAGTTTCCACTATCATGTCAATAATTAAGAACTTTACAACAACTGGAGATGTTAAGTGCCTGCCAGGAAGAGAAAGTATGTCTATACTGACCTCACACACAATGAGGAGAATGATTTGAGTGGACAAAAAATCTCCAAGAATAACAGATGGAGAATTGCGAAAATTGGCAGAAAGTCTTGAGGTCAGAATGTCTCCCAAGCTACAGTCAAATACCATCTATATAACCAGAAGTTGTTTTGAAGGTCTCCAGAAAAAAGCTTGGCTGTCAAGGATCAACAAACTCAAGCTTGTACCAAAATAGAGGTCAGTTTGGTGTGGACACAAAGATAGACACGCATGAGAAAAGTACCTCATCCCCAGTGTGAAGTATGGTGGTGGATCTGTGATGTTGCAGGGCTGTTTTTCATCCAAAGGCTCTGGACAGTTTATTCAGATACACGGTATCACACACTCAATTGAGTAGCAGCATAAATAAAATCAAAACCTGACTGTCTCAGCTAGGAAGCTTAAATTAGGCCATAGTTTGGACCTATCAGTGGAACAATGATACAAAGTACACCTTAAAATCAACATAAAAATGGTTCACTGACCACAGAATCAAGGTTTTGCAATGGCCAGTCTGGTCCCCTGACCTAAATCCCATAGAAAACCTGGGGATGAGCTGAAGAGGAGAGTCCACAGTGTAGACCTGGGAATGTGAAGGAACTGGAGAGACTCTGTACGGAGGAGTAGTCTAAGATTCGTTGCCATGTGTTCTCCAGTTTCATTAAGCTTTACAGTAGGAGATTCAGAGCTGTTATCTTTGCAAAGAGATTATTAAACGAAGGGGTGCCAACAATTGTGGCACACAGAGTTTTGAGAAAAAAAAATCCTGATAAAATTTAGTTGTTTTTTTTTTCTCAGTCATTGTAGTTCAGAAAAATGTTAGATTTTTTTTTTATATATATTTTGAGTGAAAGATCAAAAGGATAAGAAATCAATAATGTTTTTTACTGCCCGTTTTGCTCATGTTTACCAGGGGCGCCAACATTTGTGGAGGGCACAGTATATGTGTATATACATTGTTAGTGAAAGAAAAATGAATTTGTTGGCCCAATATCTCCAAAACTAAACAGATTATGTCGTAATGTATTTTCAATATATGACATTTTTGTACAGAGTTCATGCTCCCTGAGATGCAGAGTGGAAGCAGAGTTGTTTATACACCACTGAGCTCACATGCCAGCTGGGTTATAAATAAAACTCTTTCATTCAGCACGGCAGGGCCTAAGCAGTGCTCTTAAAGAGGCCTGTCTGATCCCAGATGTTATTATTAATGCCTCCCATGGAGCTCAACCTCTCAGTATCAATACGCCCGTTCATTTTTTCAGCTGCTCAAAGTGCTCATTGATCACTGCTCTTCTGCAGTATGAATCTGGAAGCAGAGGCCTATGTTTTCTCAAATTGAGGCCTCCCTTATTGGAAAAATCTCACATCCGCTGAGATAGCTCTTCCTTTTGAGCCCTAAGCATTACCTTTATCTCGTAGATCTTGAGTTTCCTCTTGATGTCAGTGTTCTCTCTCTCCAGGCCGGCCAGCCGGGTCTTGATGTCCTGGTAGGCTCTGATGAGGGCGAAGTGGGAGGCTGAGTACATGTCCTCTGGTGAGGGCGATCCGGCCCAGCCCACTCCACAGCCATCCTCCTTCAGACCCTCACTGCCTCCCAGCAGGCCCAGCTCCCCTCCAAACAGAGACTCCATTACTCACTCCCCTTCCTCAGCCTAAGGAAAGACAGTAAGATGGATGATGTGTAGGTTCGAATACAGCATGTGATTGAAAATGAGTCTCATTTAGAAATTATGTTAATATGTCAAGAAGTATATGAACGTAGTCTGTTTACCAAGCTTATCTGGGTCAACTCAGCTTGAATTTGTAGAAAATGTATTTTGCTATGGACAAAAAATCTAGTGAAAAATCTAATTTCTATAATTTATCACAAATGTAGTCAATCAACCAAGTTTGCTTCTTCAGTTTTGCACTGGTTCCCTGAAGCTAATGTAGCTTCCAAGTAATGGAAGCGTCTAAAGCAATTTTTACCATTGTGCAAATGACACACTTAAATCACCACTTAATTGATTCAAGCTGTGTTAAGATGTTAAGTAAACTCACTTTCTAGAATTTCTCAAGTGGTCTCTAACATACTGTTACAAATGGACAAATGCACAGGCAATATTCAGGCATCAAGAAGGCTGCTAATACTGTTTTTAGCTATGTACATTAATCAATTTTAATAGGTAACAGTCATCCATTGTTAAAAACATAAATAAGCTTATTTGAGATGATTTAACAGCTCAATGTGGTTTGAAGCAAATGTGTGAGGACATGTATTTTGCATCATGCTACTTAGTGTAAGCTTCCATTATATGCTAGCTACATTAGCCTTCTAGCTCCAGTGCAAAACTAAAGAAGCAAACTTTCATCAAACATGTCTTAGCTAGCTGACTACATTTAAGGAAAAGGGAAAACTGTGTAAATTTGATTTTTCACCAAACTATTCCTTTAAGTTGTTTATATGAATCTGAGATGTGAGCTAACTAGATTAGGAAGGCAGGTCCTTTCATCTCTGGCATACTTTCATAAATTTCACTTTCCCGGTTCTGCTGTGTCTGAGCAGCTCCTCCATCCCACTGGAGATAATTGTTTCTGTCTCTGTCACACTTTCATTAGCATCAGTGGCTAGTCTAATGTCCATGAAACCCAACCCCTGGTGTTACACACAGCCTTCCCTGATGCTGGGGAGACCTTTCAGGTCATTCACCTTCTGTGAATGTTGTGAGTGGTTGCTGTGGAGACCCAGAGGGTGGCTTGGTCTTGAAGAGAGGGCATAAAATATTCAGTAAAGACAAAAGCCAGGGCTTAGTTAAAATAGATGGGCCGCATGGCCTCCCTCAAGTGCTTGCTACTTAAAATGCCATTTAAGAAATTACGTCATCACCTTGCAACTAGATTGCAGCCCTCTTAAAGGGCTTCAGTGTTTCTTAATCTAACCTCAGTCTCCCCAATCTGTATCATATGAATGGGTTAAGCATTTTGTAAATTTAAAATTTGAAAACACCTTACTATAGTATTGTGTGCACACCCTCACTAATATATGGCTCCCACCACCATGCCTCACATTAGCTATGGTGTTCTTTAGTAGATGAGCTATGTTGTTGTTGCACCAAAAATATCTTTTAGAATTCAGGACAAAACTTCAACCTTGTCACATCAGGTGGTTTTGGGTGATGTAACGTCTTTTTACAGAAAACGGCTTTGATTTCTCTGCCATACCCCTAAGCCCAGACATATCTATGTGGTGGCCCACTTTCAACATCAATTCTGAAGCCTAAAAATATGTTGGAAAATTGTGTTAAGTATGCGTCTATACTCTCAAAAATCTTAAAATGGACATTGACGAACACTGTGTAAAAAAAAAATCTATTATTTATGAGTCATGCTATTCGTTCATCAGTCACAAGAAATTGAGACATGCCTCTTTGTGTGCAAGAGCCACATTCCAGCTCAGAACACTTATAACAGTGTGCTGCACAGCAGTCATTGAAGTAGAGTGAGTACTGTATATAGTAGCCTTTTTTGTGTTAGGTTTAACATGAAAAGTGATCAGTTAATGTATACTGGACTGAATTCCTTATTAATATCATGATGCTGCTACATACACAGCAGTTCAAAAGTAGTTAAGTGATAAATGCACACAAGCATGTCATTGGCTATGCTACTTATCTTTGAACATCATTCTGAATGTGATTTGTTAACTATGAACTCAGCTACTGCCTTATTAGTGTGCTCACTTAAGCAACTAGGATATTGTAAATTGTAAAAGTATTCTGTTTTTTTTTTCTTGAAATTTGTGATTTGCATGAAAGATGAAAAAAGTCATGCACGTTTTCTCTTACTTTCTGGCTTAACATCACAAAAACCTGATATTTTAATAATACTTACTGTAACTACAACTGTGTTTCATCGTTTTGTCCCAGTGTTAAAAAGTTAGATAAACCTCTATCTTTCCTGAGACATTGTCCAATGTCTGTCACATAGTCTCTATCAGTCCCTTCTATTATATAGTCCACCAAGTAGACATATTAAAAAATGCTGGAGTATGGCTTTAAAGCAAGATTAGTCTTGTGTTAGACATCACACATCACAGAAGGCCACATTTGCTAAATAATGCAAACACTTCTTAGAGACACATTTTGTGAGCAAACTATTCACTATGAGTTGTCAAGATGCTTCGTGAAGTGGAATCAGGCCTCAGTTTTGTTAAAAAAAAAAGGCTGCAGTGTACTGTCTCCATGCCCTTCAGTCACTGTGTGCGGCTGTCAGTCCATGATAAATAAGCCCAGCGATATCGCTAACACCTGTTTACTGACAATACAACTGGCCCTGCCCAGGGCAGGCCACAGCTAACGCGAAATATAAACCAGTGGCAAAATAATGGCAGTAGAAGGAAAAAAAAAACCCTGAAATACATTGCACAGCACACATAAGATGAGATGGAGATGCATGTAACATCAGGCTATCCATCTGATGTGGTACGGAGGTGTGAGGAGAATTCACTGCACACAAAATGAGTCAGCCACTCCTTGCTTACAGAGCTATTTTCAACCTCTTGCGTGTGTACCATACTTTATATGTACAAAAATCCTTGGCCAAGCTCCTCTCTCTCTCTCTCTCTCTCTCTCTCTCTCTCTCTCTCTCTCTCTCTCTCTCTCTCTCTCTCTCTCTCTCTTTCTCTCCCTCCTTCAGGGGTAATCCAAAAGAACACCCACACACATACTGATACATTTGCTCAGGCATGGGTTAGCAGCATGGACACAGAAAGAAGGAGGGAGCGATTGCTGTTCTGATGAGGAGGAATGTGTGGAGGTGGAGGACAGTAAAGTAATTTCTGGGACATTTGAAATCTCAGCTATTAACCTGTGCATGTCCTCCAGCCTGGCCTGAACTTCTATTTCTGTAAAGGCCAGGTGTATGGTTGACGCTTAGCCCGCTTTTATTATGGTCATCACACATAAACTCCAACAGTGCTAAAAAAGGGCCAGAAAAGGTGCACTGGAGCAATGCCATAGAAGAACCACTTTTTGGTTCCCTCAAGAACCTTTCAATGGTGGTTCTTTAAAGAACAGTTTTTTTCTAAATGAGATGTGGGAGTGTCCTGAGCCCACATAATGTAAAGCTTCTCTACACGATAAAGCCTTTCTAGAACTGTATATTCAAGCCAAGAACCGTTTAAGAACCTCTATCTTCTAGGAGCAGCATTCTTTTCTTGCATATAATTGCTTTTCTTGATGTCTACTTATAATGCTTGTGTGCTTTATGTAAAAGATTCATAATTCACTTTTACATGAGCATGTTACAATCTCTTTTTATCCCTTTAAGTTACACAATATTTTACTGAGAGCATACTTCTGCACATTTTAACGCAGAATTAGTTTACTTGTTGACTTTAATATACTAGGATAATACTGAAACACAAAATGTGATCTGTGCAAAATGTATGCACACTTTGTTTTAATTTTTCCCCAACATGTTAAACTCGGAAAATCAATAGAAATCATGCAATAAAGTTTGCAGTAAAAAATGCATATTTGAGTAACAGAATGTAATTAACTACATCAAAGCATTTCATGTCAAAAAAGTGAGGGACGTTTGGTTTCCCAAGAAATGTGTATGGTCTATCCACTACCCACATGAAGAGAGTGAATCAGAAAGCTTCATCCATCTCACCACTGCTGTGGTATCTGACAGTGAGCGCACATGGTGATTAAAATACAGGACTGATATCTTGTCACAGCTCAAAATGCTGGCAGGATATGAGGACAGATAGCTGGACAGGAGGACATCCTTCATACGGCCAATGCCTGGCAGCATTTTCGACAGGCACTTTCTCTCTTTCCCTCTCTCTCTCTGTTTCTCTCTCTCTCTTCATTTACTTCGGTCTCAGGTCCTCTGCACACCCATTAGGAATTCCACCGCCCTTTTTTCTGGCTTCATTAGAGAAATGACTGCAGGAAATTATCTGTTACCTGTAGGGTTGAAATGGCAGCGATGGACATGCACATGCGCACACACACACACACACACTCACATAGGAAACGGTACCAAAACCCATTACTCGAGTCAAAGCAGGATAACAGGGGAGGCAAAAAGCACACACAGAAAAATCTCTCACTCTGCTCATTTGTGTCCAACTGGACATGAGTTAACACTTGCAGTGTTTATTTCACACTAAGGAATTTGTGGCGTGACCACAGCATTAGGCTCCTCTCAAGGAAAAGTAGAAAGTATCTCATTTTATATGGATAATGAGCATAAGCATATTTATCAGATGGATGTGCGGGCATGTTAAGTACACTGGTGCAATATGGCTGCCACTTTAGATCAGTTTCGTTTGTTTATTGTTTTGCATTGATTGTGTATGTTTTGTTGTTTCCCTGTTGGTTGAGGAGTCTGCCACTGCTGTCCAAGAGCAACATATCGTCGCTGTCCAATGAAAAACATGTATCTCCATTTTTTGCGATTTTCACTGTTCTGCATCAATTGTGTGAAAAGGTTCATGATGATTGGACCAATAGAAATGCTTAAAATTTACCCAAAATTGCTTAGAATAAAATATCTTTCCATTAACTTACATTGAAAGTAAGGAACGTTTTTGCCCTCTCCTGTGAAGTTACTATTTTGGAGATAGCTGTTTTTCTTTGGACAGCGACAATATATGTGTACC